GTAGTTTATCAACGCAGCCTATTCTATGTTCAGTTACCTTTTCTCCTATACTAAATGTGTTATAACTGAGCCATACACCGGACTATTTGAAATGTTTAGTCTTTATTAATTCTTTGTGCTGAATGTTTATAATGGGTTCAGGCTAGATGTCATGTCTGCTTTAATGTCAATTCCAGATCATAATTTCTGGTTTGGAAAGGTTTTTCTTGTGCCCTATTTCTTGAAACTCTTGGTAAATGATGTTGATTTTTCTGTTCAAGATCATTCTTATTCGAATTATGAACACACAATAATAATAATAATAATAATAATAATAATAATAATAATAAATGAATATACCCACAGACATAGCAAGGTAGCGACATATGTGAACTGGAAGGTAGAATTACAGAAACACCCTTAATAGATTTAGATTTTGTCACAAAGATTAGGGAACTGGAGCATGATGAAGCTTATAAGTACCTAGGAATTAGCGAAGAAGATGGCATACAACACCCCCAAATCAAGGAAAAAATAAGAAAAGAGTACTACAGGCGTGTACATCTGGTACTAAATACTGAGCTAAACTCAAAAAACAGGATATCAGCCATAAACACATTGGCTGTCCGTGTGGTTCAATACAGCTTTAATGTCCTTAACTGGACCATAGCTGAAATTAAGCGAATGGACGCCACAACGAGAAAGCTTCTCACTTGCTATCGCATGCATCATCCCAAAGCTGATGTTGATCGTCTGTATGTGCCCAGATCCAAAGGAGGCAGAGGATTAGTTCAACTAGAACTGTCCTACAAAACTACAACAATTGGCCTCCGAAGATATTTGGAAACTACAGAAGACTGGAAGATGGTATGCGTCAAGGAACATGAAAGTAGTAAGCGTCTTTACTCCGTAATGAAAGAAGCCAACAAATTCAAAATGGACTTTCAAATGAGCGTAGAGATACAACTTACAGCACAATACACCGGCTGAAACTGCAAAATACCTAAAAAAAGACAGCAAAGACGGATGCAACCGACCAGATACAGAAGCGATGGCAAGATAAACCGCTTCATGGCCAATACTCTGCCCCGTACCAAACAAGCTGACGTAGACAAAACCCGTACCCATCAGTGGCTACGTGGTGCAGGGTTGAAAGCGAAACTGAAGGTTTTATTCTTGCTGCGCAGGACCAATGCTTGCTAACTAGGAATTATCAAGCACATATACTAAAATATTGTGTCAGCCCAAAATGCAGATTCTGTGATAAATATCCAGAAACGATAGATCATCTTGTATCAGGTTGCACGATGTTGGCACCTGAATATAAAACCCGACATGACAGAGTTGGCCAATATCTGCACTGGAAAATCTGCAAACTTCTACGGGAAGGAAACTGAAAAAAACTGGTATGAACACCACCCAGACCCGGTTACGGAGATGGGGACCTGTTACAATTCAATGGGACTACACAATACACACTGACAGAACAATCAAGGCCAACCGCCCAGATATTGTTATTAAAGACCACAAACAAAAACGGTGCCTCCTTATTGATATGGCAGTCCCTGCAGACTGCAATGTATCTTTGAAGATATTCAAAAAGTTGTCAAAATACAAGGACCTTGAACTAGAAATCTCGAAAATGTGGCATATGGGAACATCAACAATCCCTGTTGTAGTTGGAGCCCTAGGACTGGTGGGAAAAGATTGCAGTAGACTAATTGAAGGGATTCCTGGAAGTCCATGCCTCAAGGAGGTACAAAAAATTGTTCTGACAAGTACAGCCCACACTTTACGAAGGGCTTTATCTATGTAATTTTTTTTTTTTTTGTCAGTGGAAAGTGTCATGACGCCATTTCTAACTTTAGGTCCCTGGGCGGGACCCGGAAAGAAAATGTAAACGCCAGAAATCAAAGAAAATAATAATAATAATAATAATAATAATAATAATAAATATAATAATAATAAATAAATATACCCACAGGCATAACATGGTAGCGACATATGTGCACTGGAAGATATGCAATAAGCACAAAATCGAAAACTAGTGAGAGATGGTATGAGCACCAACCAGACACAGTTACCGAAAATAACGATGTAACTATCCTCTGGGACATGCCAATTCAAACTGACAGGGAAATAAAAACCAACAGACCTGATATTATCATAAAAGACAATAAATTCAGAAACTGTATACTTATTGACATAGCAGTACCATCTTAGAGAAACACCTCCATGAAAATTATCGAGAAATTGTCCAAATACAAGGACTTGAAGATCGAGATTAACAGGATGTGTGGAATGAAGACTGAGACTGTACCAATAGTAATCGGAGCACTGGGCCTCGCGAGAAAAGGAATGGACAATTTTACTAACAGTGTCCCAGGTAACATCAACATACAAGTTACCCAGAAGATCGCCCTACTAGGAACATCCCATATAATAAGAAAAGTGTTATCACTTTTTTTAAGTGTATCACCCCAAGCAAGGCGGGAAGCCACTAGCACGCAAGGGCTTACAGAGAGTTGGAACAAGAGAAAATAGGAGTGATAGGGGAAAGGATGAGGAGAAGGATAGATCAAGGCATCTGGAGACGTCGATTGACATTACATTTGAATGGTTGAAGATTATAGCTATCAGGGAAACAGGAAAAGGGGAGGGGGTTCCACAGGCGAGAAGTGCGAGAGATGAAGCTACTGAAGTAGAAGAGACGGCTACATTTAACAGTTTCGACAGTGAAAGGGTGAGAGAGAGATGCCAGCCTAGAGTTGAACGCTTAAATTCATGAAGTCTAGGAACGAGCGAAAGCAGCTCCTCGGAGCAGTTACCATGAAAGTATTTTTAAAAAAGACAGAGGGAGGCGACAGAGGGAGGGCCAATTATATTGCATATCCGTCTCTGGATTTTATCAAGGACCTTGAGACAAACAAAAGGGGCTCCGTAGTTTCGACCCGGCTCTCTGCAGGATACAAACCAGGATAATATACGCAAATAATAATAATAATAATTTTTTACATTATTTACATTATTCGGACCATTGTCCTCATCTTTGTCGCCATATAAATATATATAAATATGGGGACAAAGATGAAGACAATAGTCCGAATAATGTAAATAATGTACATAATACCTCATCTCAGAAATATAGATACTAATAATTTTTTGTTTTTGTTTTTACAAAAATGATTAGTGGAAAATGTCATAAAGCCATTTCTGAAATTAGGTCTCTGGTTGGGACCCGGAAGGAAATGTATCTATAACCGAAATCAATAATAATAATAATAATAATAATAATAGCCCTACCAGACTGGGTGTTATGTTGGGTATATTGATCTTCACATATTTGTACCCCAACTTCGCTTTTTTGGCGCGTTGTTCTTGCTCTCTCAATAATAATTATTATTATTTTTATTTTCTTTGATTTCTGGCGTTTACACATTTCTTTCCGGGTCCCGCCCAGGTTCTAAGGTTAGAGATGGCGTCATGGCACTTTCCACTGAAAAAAAAAAATTTAAATTACATAGATAAAGCCCTTCGTAAGGTATGGGCTGTACTTGTCAGAACAATTTTTTGTATCTCCTTGAGGCATGGACTTCCAGGAATCCCTTCAATTAGTCTACTGCAATCTTTTCCAACCAGTCCTAGGGCTCCAACTTCAACAGGGATTGTTGATGTTCCCATATGCCACATTTTCGAGATTTCTTTTTCAAGGTCCTTTATTTTTATTATTATTAATAATAATAGTAATGATAATAAGGAGGTGGGGAGGAATAAAGACTAAGGCTGCTCCAATAGTAATGGACAATCTTACTAACAGTATCCCAGGTAACATCAACATACAAGTTGCCCCGAAGATCGCCCTACTAGGAACATCCCATATACTAAGAAAAGTGCTATCAATTAAATGACAATTCTCCTATATGGCCTAAGGGCTTTAGTTTAGACACGGCTCTACAGGATACAAAGCAGGAAACATAACATACACCAATAATAATAATAATAAAGAAAAAAAGAGGAAGAATTCTTTCCAAGTTACAGACTTTGGTTTCCTTGTGAAGTCATGTTTGCATGACATCAGTCGATTTTCTATATAACATTGTATAATTTATCGGTACAGGCCTACTTACATTTCCTCTCGATGCTTTGTCTTAGCCAGTTTATAACAATGATTAGTATAATATAGATTGTAAACCTGTTTTTCTGGTTAAAACAAAAAGCCGCATAGCTGTTTCTAGGCTACAGTCTTTGGTTTCCTTGTGAAGTAATATTTTGTTATGATGTTAATTTGGGGTTAATAAAGACAAACGCCAAATAACATGTAACAATAAAATGGGGTTTATTCGGTTGGTAAGTTGGTACAGATATCGCCTGAGTAGTCTATAACTAACTCAGCTCAGAACTTCTTCTACACTGTCTTTTGACATGCCACTAGTTAACGTCCTTGTTTGTAGACGAGTTCATCTTTAAAAGGGGTGGTAGGTTCCTACACAACATATTTGCATGATATCAGTTCTTTCCTTATATACCTTGAACATTTTATCGGTGCAATCCAGCCATTGTTTATCTTTTCATTTTATGTTTTCACTAAATTATAACCTGTGGTTTTTCAATTTCGCTGTACAAATTATCAAAGAAGCAGCATGAAATAATGATAATCAGACATCGAAACTATCTGACATCGAACATAAAGACTCCAAAGATACACTATAGATATCACTCTGATTTGTGGATATAGTAGTTGGCTAAAGCATATGTTGCTGTGGTCGTGAGTTCGATTCTTGGATCAAGCAGTGAATTGATTAATTTATTTTTACGGCTTATCAACCATTATTTAAAGTCAGAAATGCTTACAGCCAATGAAACACCGATTCCTGTACGATCAACGAAGTTAAGCAACGTCAAGTCTGATCATTACTTAGATGACCGCTTGGGAATATCAGGTGTTGTGGGCATGGATGTGCGGGTGGTGTAATGGGTAATGGCTCGGAATTGTTTCCCAGAAAGGCTTACGACCGCGTCATATTGAAACACTGATTCCCGTACGATCACTGAAGTTAAGCAACGTAGAGCCTGGTCAGTGCTTAGATGGGTAACATCTCGGTTATACCAGCTGCTGTAAGTCTGGATCTGCGGGTGGTGTAATGGATAATGATTCAGAATTGTTAATCAGTGTGCCAAGTTCCAATTCCAATTGAGTTTGTCAAATTCACTTATGCACAAACACCCTTTGGAAAGGCATGAATCCACCTCTTCTCCCCCAGCTATGGGTTAATTATTAAGACTTTTATCACTAAAAACATTATTTTCCATTTATAATACGCCTTCATCTATAATACTATTATATTATTATGCATTCTACATCCCTAAAATTATGCTGAAAATGTGGGAAAATGCTTCTACTCACGCATAATACGCACCCTTGTTTCGTAATCAAACCCTATAAATTGTACGTGTCCAATTTCATTACGGCTAACGTTCCCTACTTTTATTTAAAAAATGGTTTTAAACATAGAATAATATTCTAATTTAGTTTTATGATAATCATTATTTTATTTTACGGCATTTTTAAAAGATTTTTTGTAGCTGTGCATAATACGCACCCCTGATTTTGCTTATTATTTTTTTTAGAAAAAATGCGTATTATACACGGCGAATTACGGTATTATTTTCAGAAATGGGTAAATAATATAAAATTGCATGCAAAATATTTAGATTACGGCATTAATTGACCCATAGAGGTGTTGATATACCGTTAATCAAAAGCAACCAACCAACATTTTTAGATTGTAATAATTTTTTTCTCTATGCCTTTTCTTTAAATACTTTCATGGTAATTGTTCTCGTGAACTTTCCTCTATGGTACCTAGACTTTATGAATTTCAACGCAGAACTAGATCGGTAGCAAGATTTCAAGTTGAAATGGCTAGATGCAGCTGTCCTCTTGATTACGCTTCTATTCTCTCTCCTAAATAACGGTTCTGTTTTCTAATCTTCTCAAACCCAGTAATCCCTTGTATCTTAGTGGCTTTAATGCCTTGGATGGGGTGAATTCCATTAAAAAAAATAAAAGACGGACTGAATATGTGAACAATGATAAAGTTTTAAAGAAAATAGAATTTAGAGATATTATGAGGAAAGTAGGCTTAGAAAGTTTGACACTGACAGGGTGTATTGACGACAAAGACGGATGGTAAAGAGTCAAATATTGTTTAAAGCTAAGAAGCTGTGGAGAGCTATGATCTTCCAATACTTGAAAAGACACAACACATAAAGCAAAAGAAGGCTTGACTGTAAAGAATCAACCGGGACAAAAATTCCATCTGTTCTTTTGCGATCAGATATTTGGTTAGCCATATACCGAGAATTTTCTAAAAAGTGTCTTTTAATATATCTTCATGTAAATTGTTCCGATGAGTTCTTCGCTATCGTACCTAGACTTTATGAATTTAAACGCAGTACTAGATTGGCAGCAAGGTCTCTTCATTTTAGAATTGAAATAGCTAGATGCAACCGTAAGTTCTATGCTAACAGTTTCTTCCATTGCACTTTTCGCTTGTAAAAATCTTTTCTGGCTTCTTGCTTTTTAGTTCCAGTCAAATTTGATCTTCAAAAATTTAAATGTAATGTCAATCGTTATCTTCTATCTTCTTAATTTCTGTTCTTTAACTGATTCTAGCGCCTGAATAATATATTTTGTCTGTCTATATTTCTGAGATGAGGTATTATGTACATTATTTACATTATTCGGACTATTGTCCTCATCTTTGTCGCCATATTTTTAAGTCAAACGTTTCGGCCGTTGTACGCTCGACCGTCTTCAGGTGGTTGGAATATCGAACTGAAATAAAGGGTTCATTCGACACTCCACGCCTACCTGAAAGAAGGCCGGGCGTACGACAAATTGAAACATTCCAATAAATATGGCGACAAAGATGAGGACAATAGTCCGAATAACGTAAATAATGTAAATATTTTTTGTATTCTTTCACATTTACCTGCCCCCCCCCACACACAACCCCCACCACTTGCTCGTTAGTGGATTTGTTGCCTTGCTTGGGGTGAAATAATTAAAACTAATATTACAAAATTGATTGATTTACGCCATATCAGCCCTTTTTTAGGTTATTTAAAGCCGTGAATAACAATGATTTTTTTTCGATACAAGCCTTTCTATTTAACCCATAGGTACAGGGGAATTTATACCTATTCCAAGGGTACTGATACGTATTGATGTAAATATAACTAAACCGAGTAGAATTCGAACTAGGCCCTCTGTTTTTTCCTTCTGATCCGCTATCGGTTACACAACCTGTACATCGCTGTTTAATATCAAAAAATGTACCTGTAACATGGAGACATGACGCTACATTAAATATTTTCATCTGTTCCTGAAGTTATTATGAGCCAAATGCAAAGATCTTTCGTCACGACAAGGAAAGCGACTCTAAAGTAAACATTCCTTGTATGATATTTAAACCATGTTCTATCAGCTATAGAAGTCTGGGAATTATTTCTTCGAGAAAATGTTTCATTTCGATAAAGGTAGAGCTAGACCTACGTGGCTGAGATAGTCACCCATCTCCTACTAATGCTGGCTGTCGGGGTTCAAGCCCAGATAAAAACCGCGTTTTCGAATCATAAGTAAGCGTATTCTCTTTACCCAGTGTATTGGCGCAACGCAACAGTCCCTTTTTTAGCATCGTGTATCTAATTAAATATCAAATATTCTTGTTTTGTTTTTAATTGCATTTGGGGTCCTTACATATTTCCCAAAGGTGCCAAATGTTAATGCTGAAACTACGTGATTCAGCCTTCGGCAGCCGCAAAATAACCTCAAGTCGACACCGATACCTAGCTCTCATGATAATCTAGTGAGTTATTATTCTTCTTCTTCTTGCCTTGCCCCGTCAGGGAACCGGCGATCATGACTTTGTGTTTCCATTATCCTTAATACTTCAATATTTCTTGTTAGTATCAAATTCTCCAAGACTTCTTTCCTCCTTATGTATCCCAGGAATGTCAAATTTCTCTTTCTGATTTTAAGTATGTGCCATTTTTTGTTTTCATTATTCCCATACTTTGCCCATGCTATTCTCACCATCCTTCTGTAGAACCACAACTGTGTAGCCTCAAGTCTTCTCTTCATCCGTGATTTTTTCCCGGCTTCTTGCTTTCCAGTTCCAGTCAGAAGTTTGATCTTCAAAAATTTAAATGTAATGTCAATAGTTACCTTGTTAATTTCTTTTCTTTGACTGATTCTGGCTCCTGAATAATATTTTTTGTATTCTTTCATATTCAGCACCCCTCAACCACCACCACCATTTGCTCGTTAGTGGGTTTCTTGCCTTGCTTGGAGTGAAATAATTCAAATTAATATTACAAAATTGATTGATTTACGCCATATCGGTCCATTTTTTTAAATTTTTTTAGATTATTGAAAGCTGGTTGAAAACTTCTATTCTTGCATGAGACTACACAAGTAGTCAAATGCTAATTTCCAAAACAGACAAGCTTAGTGATAACAGCATAAACGCCATACTTCTCTCACTTGGCCCACCTCTTGGTCACAAGCCAGCCTAACTTTGGTAGAGTATCATTTTGTGAGACTTGCATCATTAGTTTCAATATTCGGCCTGTGCAGTTAAAATAATTTCTACGTTGTATTATCTGTCCAATTAAGAGTGTCTATAACATGATGGGATCGTAAAAAAAAATTGTGGATATATTTCTGTCTTTCTCGCTGGAAAATGCAAGACTCGTCATACGGAAAATGGTAAAAAATATGGCGAAAATAAACCATAAATCTTCGATCAATAAAGTAGCTAATGATCTAATTGTGTTGTCCTTCATTCGTGAGCCAAACCTCGGCAGTCATAATACGCTTTTAACCCCATTCATTCAACACACACATATATATATATATATATATATATATATATATATATATTTGTTTTGTATTTATTTGCTTAATGTGTGTGTGTGTGTGTGTGTATGATCATGAACCGACGCAGATTTATTTTTCTTCAATATCCTCAAAATATGCATTTGTATGGCTGTTCTTAGGAAAGATAAGGCAGTGTTTTCCAGTTGCCTTCTCTACAATATATATATATATATATATATATGGGTGTGTGTGTGTATGTGTGTGTGTGTCTCTGTGTGTGTGTATATATATATATATGTATGTATGTATATATATATATATATATATATATATATATATATATATATATATATATATATGGGCAACAACCTTTCTTTTAAACAAGTTTCGTTAAATATGAAAGACAAGAAAATGTAATTAATATTTTTATTTAGTTTCTCCAGCGTTCCTACATTTTTTTTTCCGTTTGCTAGGAGTAGGGGAGTGCAAAAATTGTTCATACTGTCCATTTTCCCAAGCGTTTTCACCCACATCTGTAGCCATTTTCAAGGCGTTGTTAATTTCTCTTCATGCTTTGAATGTTTAATATGTATTTTATTTTTGTGTTGTTTTGAATAGGTGTGTCTTTCTTTTTTAAAAAACAAACTTTCAACATTCCATTCCTACTCTTTAATAAGGTGAGGTTGATAGTGGGAGAGAGATGTTTAATATGCAGGGCATATCTTATAGCGAGCTTTTACATACATACCTATATATATATATATGCGTGTGTGTATGTGTGTGTGTGTGATCATGTCTCGATCCAGCATTCTTATCTTTATTATCCTCAAACAATGCATTTGCATGACTGCTCATGGTAAATATATTTTTAGTTGACTTTTCCACGCTATATATATATATATATATATATATAATTATGAAATGGACTAACACGAACAATTATTTAAATATATTTTATTGTTATACGTAATTTATATGGACAGAAATATCTAAGTAAATGTTCTGTCATATAGTCCGACGTGCTTTACTATTTAGCTACAGAGGAAGCGTCTGGTTACCAGTAAATCCACCTTGCTAGCCATATATATATATATGGTTGCAAAGATATATATATATATACATTGCTAGTCATATATATATATGGTTAGCAAGATATATATATATATATATATGGTTAACAAAGATATATATATATATATGGTTAACAAGAATATATATATATATAATCGACTCTC